ATGCTAAAACCCGGTCTTAACCAGAATTTGCTGATATGATAGTTACTCTATGGTCCTAGGAACTAGGACCATAAAAGGTAGTTTGTAAACAAGGACGGGGGAGGCATAGAATTAGAGTAATGGAAGATGTAATCAGGGGCGGAGATAATATATTCACTTTAGACACTTCGGATAGGTTTTTCTCGCCATGTACGTGTATATATCTGAACTGGACTGTGTTGTTTCTCCGTGTTATATAATGTACGTGGGTATATGCATATTTATTAGCTTTTGTCATGTTCATGCAGTGTATATTGGAGGTGGTGACCCTTTGAGACCTGAATGCAATGAAATTTCATTTTAATGTATGCCAATTAGTGTACATTCAAAGTGACAATAAAGTTATTTCTATGTCTTCTAAGTCTAAGTTGTGACGGCATGAGTACTAAGCCAAGTGAGGAAAAGGTGGGAGGTAAATTTGTATATAGCAATAGGGAGTATAAAGAAAATGTATTGATAATTTAAGGTGTGTTCACTGTAACCGCTTGTGCGTAGTTCACCCTCTTTGCAAAGCAGTAAATAAAATTACTATTGTTTTCACTTGGAAGTTTTTGGCTGGTGTTTATTTCAAAACTAGAGAATGAATCCCACACTAGGCAAGGAAAACTTACAGTAGTGGCCAAAATTGTGGAAACCTTTTGGGAAAAGTGTATTTTTGAGGTTTGATGGCTAATAACACCACTTTTTTTTTTTTTTTTTTTTTGAGTTTCAAGATAATCCTATTCCACTGCTGGAATGGCCTGAGAATAGCCCAATAACCTTCACCCAATTGAAAATCTATGGAAAAGAAACTTATTAGTCAGAAGTGACCCAGCAATAAAACCCAATTAATAGAAGCCATCATTCAATCTTGGTTTCACATGATAACAGCTGCAGAACTAAAAGACTTGGTTCACTCCATGGGAAGGCGTTGTAAGGCTGTCGTTCATGCTAAAGGTTACCCAACTAAGTATTAACTGACATGGGGATAATATTTGCATATCTCATTTTTTCTATGGTGATCATTTTTGTATATCTCGTTTTTTCTATCTGTTTCCCTTTTCTTCTTTATACTGTAACTGCTATTCAAATAGCAAATCCTTCATAAAAGTTATTGCATTACATTCTTGATTCAATTATCTTTCCACTGATTTATAATTTTATGGGACTACTCCAAATAAAAAAAGTGCTGTTATTAGCTAGTTTTAGAAAATAAACTTGGGAAAATAACTTTTCCCAAAAGGTTTCCACAATTTTGGCCACTACTGTACATTTTTCTCCTTTCCCCTCGATTCTCCTTGGAGATTCCAGGACTTTCTGCATTTTTTTCCTCCCCCACCCCCCCACACTTTAAACAACCTAATACAGGTAACTCCTCAACTTACAATAGTTCATTTAGTGACCGTTCAAAGTTACAACGGCACTGAAAAAGAGAGAGTTAGGACCATGTTTCACACTTACGACCTTTGCAGCATCTAATCGCGATCAACATTCAGACGCTTGGCCACTGGTTCATACTTACGACCGCTGCTGGGTCCCAAGGTCACGTGATCTCCTTTTGTGACCTTCCGATGAACGAGGGTCAATGGGGAAGCCGGATTCACTTAACAACCGGGTCACTAACATCAACCTGATGTTATGGCTGATGCTATGCAATGCCAGGTCCGTGGTAAATAAAGCCCCCCTCATTTGTGATCTTGTTCAGGAGGGGGGAGCGGACCTGGTGGGTATTACGGAGACCTGGTTGGGCCAGGAGGGTGGAGTCCCTCTCATAGAGATGTGCCCACCCGGTTTCCGGGCATTTCATCAGCCAAGGTCACAGGGAAGGGGCGGGGGGGTGGCAGTTATCATTAAAGAGGGTCTTAGTCCGAGGGAGGCCACTGTTCCTCAGACGGCCGGATGTGAGTCCCTCCTTGTGAAGTGGGGTCATGGGGTGCAGATGGGCCTGCTGGTTACGTACCTGGCTCCCTGCCACGTGGCAGCGGCCTTGCCTGAACTACTCAACGTTATAGCCGCGGTGGCGATTGATACCCCTAGACTTATGGTCATGGGGGACTTCAACCTGCCATCCGTCGGTGAGGCGTCTGAGGTGGCTCAGGAGTTCATGGCTTCCATGACGGCCATGGACCTGACCCAGTTAGTTCATGGCCCTACTCACACGGGGGGAAACACGCTGGACCTGGTTTTTGTCTCTGGTCAGTGGCTGAGTGGTCTCGAGATAGGGGATATAGCGATCGAGCCCTTGTCATGGTCAGATCACTCCCTCCTTCGCTTTGACCTTCGAACCGCCACACCCCGCCGCAGGGAGGCGGAACCGATGAGGTGGTTCCGCCCCAGGCGCCTGATGGACCCGGATAGGTTCCAGACGGAGCTTGGGCCATTTCCTGAGGCTCTGGCACACGGCTCGACTGAAGACCTAGTGGCTGTCTGGGATAGGGCGGCCGCTGGAGCTTTGGACCGGGTCGTGCCTTTGCGGCCTCTGACCCGGCGTCGATCTCACCTGGCTCCCTGGTTCACCGAGGAGCTGAGGGAGATGAAACGCCGGAAAAGACGCCTGGAGAGCAGTTGGAGGGCCAGCCGTTCTGAATCTGACCGAACACTGGTAAGGTCTCATATTAAGACCTACCTGGTGGCAATAAAAGCGGCAAAGTGTAACTATTTTTCCGCTCTTATTGCGTCATCAGATAATCGCCCGGCCGCCCTGTTTAGGGTGACCCGCTCCCTGCTCCACCAGGAAGCGTGGAAGGACCCCTTGGAGGGTAGAGCCGAGGACTTTGTACAATATTTGTATGACAAAATCGCTCAGATTCGGGAAAATTTGGACTCTGACTGGGTAGATTCGGGAGGGAGGATGGAGGCAAGTCTTGAGAATATTATCTGGGAAGAGTTTGATTCTGTGACTCTGGAAAACGTGGACAAGATACTGGGCAGACTAAGCGCGGCCACATGTTTATTGGACCCGTGTCCCTCCTGGCTGGTGCTGGCCTCTCGGGAGGTTACACGAGGCTGGCTCCAGGGGATTATAAATGCTTCCTTGAGTGAGGGTGTCTTCCCTGCTGCCTTGAAAGAGGCGGTGGTGAGGCCTCTCCTCAAGAAGCCTTCTCTGGACCCAGCAGTGTTGGCTAATTACTGTCCAGTCTCCAACCTTCGCTTCATTGCGAAGGTTGTTGAGAGTGTGGTAGCGCGACAGCTTCCTCAGTACTTGGATGAATCGGCTTATCTAGATCCATTCCAGTCGGGCTTCAGGCCTGGATACAGCACGGAAACGGCATTGGTCACATTGATAGATGATCTCTGGAGGGCCCGGGACAGGGGTTGCTCCTCTATCCTGGTCCTATTAGACCTCTCAGCAGCTTTTGATACCATCGACCATGGTATCATGCTGCACCGGTTGGAAGAGTTAGGGGTGGGAGGCACCGTGTTGCGGTGGTTCTCCTCCTTTCTATCTGATCGGTCGCAGTCTGTGTTGACAGGGGGGCAGAGGTCGACCCCGAGGCCCCTTGTATGTGGGGTGCCACAGGGGTCGGTTCTCTCACCCCTTCTGTTCAACATTTATGTGAAGCCGCTGGGTGAGATCATCCGTGGTTTTGGGGTGAAGTATCATCAGTATGCTGATGATACTCAGCTATACATCTCCACCCCGGACCACCCCAATGATGCCCTTAAAGTGATGTCCCAGTGCCTGGAGGCTGTACGGATCTGGATGGGGAGGAACAGACTCAGGCTCAACCCATCCAAGACCGAGTGGCTGTGGTTTCCGATGTCCCGATATAGTCAATTGGTGCCATCACTGACTATTGGGGATGAGTCATTGCCCCCCACGGAGAGGGTTCGCAACTTAGGCGTCCTCTTGGACTCACGGCTGTCTTTAGAAGAACACTTGACAGCTGTGGCCGGGAGGTCTTTTTATCAGGTTCACTCATGCCCTCGTCACTTCACGCCTGGACTACTGTAATGCTCTCTACATGGGGCTCCCCTTGAAGAGCACCCGGAGGCTCCAGCTGGTCCAGAATGCGGCCGCGCGGGTAGTTATGGGAGCAGCATGGCGCTCCCATGTGGCTCCCCTCCTGCGCGAGCTGCACTGGCTCCCTGTGGTCTTCCGGGTGCGCTTCAAGGTCTTAGTTACCACCTTTAGAGCGCTCCATGGCTTAGGACCCGGGTACCTTCGAGACCGACTTCTGCCACCAATAGCCTCTCACCGCCCAGTACGCTCCCATAGAGAGGGGCTTCTCAGGGTGCCGTCAGCCAAACAATGTCGACTGGCGGCCCCCAGGGGGAGAGCCTTTTCTGTGGGGGCACCCACCATCTGGAACGAGCTCCCCCCAGAGATACAGAAGATTCCGGATCTGCGCACTTTCCGCCGTGCCCTCAAAACATTCCTGTTTCAGCAGGCCGGCCTGGCCTAACTTTCCCTTTATATTGCTTTTTGATTTTATTTTAAACTGGGATGTCTTGAATTATCTAGGACCAGAATGTTTAGTATATTTTAATTGGTTTTTTATTATTAACATTTGTATTACATGTATTTTTATCGTTCGCTGTTCACCGCCCTGAGTCCCTTAGGAATAGGGCGGTATATAAATTTAATAAATAAATAAATAAATAAAAAACCTCACTTAACAACTGAGGAAAGAGAAGTCGTACAATGGGCAAAATTCACTTAGCAAATGTCTCACTTAACAACAGACGTGTTGGGCTCGATTATGGTCATAAATCGAGGACGACCTGTAGATTAAAACAGGATCTGGCCACCCTTTGTTCACAGAAGGGGGGAAAAAATCCAGAGGGAAGCGAAGCATCATTTTTAAACGGTCACAGTTTCTATCTTAATTCATTGATTTATTATTATTATTATTAATAATTATTATTATTATTATTATTGTGCCTCAGGATCTACGCTGCGCGCCCGTTGCCATGGCAACAGGGCCGAGGCCTGGCTCGGCGAGGAACCGCGTCCTTTCTTTCCGCGCCACCGTTCTTACCGGAGGGCTCCTTCCTTAGCCTTTCCCACGGCGAATTCACTCTCGGTCTGACTGTCTCCCGCGGCGGAGCTTCCGCGAAACCCCCGGAGCTTCTCTCACTCCCAGCGCGGTGAGAAAAGAACCGGCGAGGCCGCGTTTCCATGACGACGCGACCAAGCCTGGCTTCAAACCCTCGCGCCGCTTTGGCGCGCCGCTTACGTCAGCTCAGCCGTCCAATAAAACGATGTTGGAGGAAGTAGGTGAGGCCTATATCATCCAATCAAAAAGGAGGAGGAAAAAAAGGAGCGGGAAAAAGACATACAGAAAGCGGCAGCGGCTGCGGAGACCGCCTTTAAAAGTCTATCTTTCTAGTGGTCTTCTCCCCCTATCTGTCAAGCTACCAAAGCCAATCATAATTCTATCCTCCAAATCGGCCACGCCTTCTGTCGTTGTCGCTCGCTGATTGGATGGAGTCGCCTCAGCGGGTGTAAGCAGGAAGTATCGGTTGTACCAACAGCTATCAGCATGACTGCGATTGGTCGAGAAGGTGACCACATTGAGATTGACAAGAATGGAAGCCAATTGGAGAAAATATTCTCAATACTGCCGGGTTGTGTTTTACCCAATCCGAAGCCTCCGAACAAGACTCCCCACAAGACTGGGGGATTATGGGAGTTGAAGTCCAGCTTTCTGGACTTGCTTTTTTTTTTTTTTTAGCAGAATTGCTTGGACAGGTATGCCGGGTTGCTACCGCGGGTGGTTCTCAGTGGGGTCCGCCGGGTGGTGGGGGCTCAGCCTGATGGCCTTTGTTCAGCTGAGCTCCCTATAAATTGTGCATTGTTTAGTGCATCTGATTGCAATCACGTGCAGTTACTACTACTATTAATAACAATAATAAATATTAACAATATTCATATTAAAATATGATTTGCTGTTAAAATTGCAGCAAAGGCAAAGTTGCAACCTGGAGGGGGCTCCCAGCTTAAGCTGTAAAGGGCGCCAAGAAACCCAGATCACAAAGCTGTGAATTGGGAGGGAGGGTCTTGCATCAACTCCAGTGCAGCCCTCCTGGTGTAGTAGTTTAAATAGGGCATAAGTAGATCCAGGTTCGAGACCACTCTCAACTATGGCCCTCAATGGGTGACTTTGGGCCAGTGGGGAGATCCAATTTTTTTTACTACCGGTTCTGTGGGCGTGCCATGGTGGGCGTGGTGTGGCTTGGTGGGCGTGGCAGGGGAAGGATACTGCACAATCTCCATTCCCACCCCACTCCTGGGAGAAGGATATTGCAAAATCCCCATTCCCTCCCATCTCCATTCTCTCCCCACTCCTGGGAGAAGGATATTGCAAAATCTCCATTCCCTCCTCACTTCTGGGGGAAGGATATTGCAAAATCCCCATTCTCTCCCCACTCCTGGGGAAGGATATTGCAAAATCCCCATTCCCACCCACTCGGGGGCCAGCCAGAGGTGGTATTTGCTGGTTCTCTGAACTGCTCAAAATTTCCGCTACCGGTTCTCCAGAACCTGCTGGATTTCACCCCTGCTTTGGGCCACTCACAAACTTGTGAAAGGGATCAATAGAAGAGAAGATCTGTAGCTCGGAGTTGAACTGTGGGGTCCTTTGGTCTTCTCTGAGCTTTGTAGTTGTCTTGCAGATGTTTCATGACCCAACTAGGTAACAGCATCAGTGCTAGAAGGGAGTGGAGGCGGAGGAGGTCCATGGACTCTGATGCTCTCTAAGCTTGATTTTCTTGTGGATGTTTCATGACCCAACTAGGTAACATCATCAGTGCTAGAAGGAAGTGGGGATTGTGGAACAGAGGAGGAGGACCATGGGCTCTGATGCTCCCTGATCTTGGTGGTTTTCTTGCAGACATTTGATTACCCAACTAGGTAACATCATCAAGGCTAGAAAGGAGGGGGGTTTGCTCCCTCTTCATGTTCTACTAATCATATTAGTGTTGGTGGGAGAGTTCTTGGAAGGTCCTTGACTAAGGTGTCGTTTACTACTTGATTGTTGGTTAGTATTAATTAGATAGACAGACAGACAGACAGATAGATACCAAAAGAAGTGAATATTTGTAGCTCGGGGTTCAACTGTGGAGTCCTTGGTGCTCTGAGCTTGGTTATTTCCTTGCAGATATTTCACTACTTAACTAGGTAGCATCATCAGTGGTAGAAGGCAGTGAGGTATGAGGAGAGGAGGAGGAATATGCTGTTGCTCTACGAGCTTGCAGACGTTTAATTACCCAGCTAGGTAACATCATCAGTGTTAAGACTTGTGAAATGCCTTTGGTGAATGGTGCCTTCAGGTCTATTTCTTGCCTTTAACTCCACCCAGGTTGTGGGGTGGCCTGCTCCGCCCCCATTTCAGAGTTTGCCATCTGCTAACGCTGCTCCTTTCTGTTCCTTTTGGGTAAGAGCAGCATGAGCTTAAGAGCCTGTGGCTTGATTATCTTCAGAAGGTTACCCAAGGCATGTGCTACTGCAGCTACGGACGGCCACGTTGAGTACCTCCTTCTGCAAACCTCCTACGGCATCCATCACTGGACACCCCCTAAAGGTGGGTTACTCACCTTGCTGTCTGAAGGAGAGCTCTGCGGTTGCTACTGGATATGGAGCCACTGAGTTGTTCCTGGGGAGGGAGATCAGCCGACCAAGAAAGCAGATCGGCTGGGGAATTCTGGGAGTTGAAGTCCACCCATCTTAAAGTCACCGAGGTTGTAAAACCCTGAGCTACCTTTTGGGCATCAGCTCTGGAGATGGATCCTACTCTCTACTTTCTTCAACTTTCTTCATTTATTAGATTTTATTTTTCCTTTACTGTATATTTTATAGGTAGCTCAAGGGGGCAAACATACCTAATACTCTTTCCTCTTCCTGTTTACCCTACTCAGGATGGTGGGCTGGGCTGAGAAAGAGGGACTGGCCTAAAGTACTACAGGCTTTTAAGAGCCTGTAGTACAGTGGACTAAAGCACTGTTATTAACAACTGCTGCTTGCAATTACTGTAAGATCGAATCTCACCAGGCTCAAGGTTGACTCAGCCTTCCATCCTTTCAAAGGTAGGTGAAATGAGGACCCAGTTTGTGGGGGCAATAAGCTGACTTTGTATAAATATACAAAAGTATGAAGGCTATTGCTTAACGCATTGTAAGCCGCCCTGAGTCTCCGGAGAAGGGCAGCATACAAATTAAAGCCAAAAAAAAAAAAAAAGTCACCAAAATACCTCAGGTGGCTTTCGTGCCAAAGGCAGGACTAGAACTCATTGCCTCCTGGTGTTTGGCCAACAGTCATCCAGCTGGCTTTCATGCCTGAGGAAGGACTAGAACTTTCCATCTCCTAGTGATCGGCCCAAAATCCCCCAGGTGGCTTTGGTGCCAAAGGCGGGACTAGAACTCTCCATCTCCTGGTGATTGGTCCAAGATCTCCCAGGTGGCTTTCATGCCAAAGGCGGGACTAGAACTCTCCATCTCCTAGTGATTGGTCCAAGATCTCCCAGGTGGCTTTCATGCCAAAGGCGGGACTAGAACTCTCCATCTCCTGGTGATTGGTCCAAGATCCCCCAGGTGGCTTTGGTGCCAAAGATGGGACTAGAACTCTCCATCTCCTGGTGATTGGCCCAAAATCCCCCAGGTGGCTTTCATGCCAAAGGCGGGACTAGAACTCTCCATCTCCTAGTGATTGGTCCAAGATCTCCCAGGTGGCTTTCATGCCAAAGGCAGGACTAGAACTCTCCATCTCCTGGTGATTGGTCCAAGATCCCCCAGGTGGCTTTGGTGCCAAAGATGGGACTAGAACTCTCCATCTCCTAGTGATTGGTCCAAGATCTTCCAGGTGGCTTTCATGCCAAAGGCGGGACTAGAACTCTCCATCTCCTAGTGATTGGTCCAAGATCTTCCAGGTGGCTTTCATGCCAAAGGCGGGACTAGAACTCTCCATCTCCTGGTGATTGGTCCAAGATCCCCCAGGTGGCTTTGGTGCCAAAGATGGGACTAGAACTCTCCATCTCCTAGTGATTGGCCCAAGATCCCCCAGGTGGTTTTCATGCCAAAGATGGGACTAGAACTCTCCATCTCCTAGTGATTGGTCCAAGATCCCCCAGGTGGCTTTGGTGCCAAAGGGGAGACTAGAACTCTCCATCTCCTAGTGATTGGTCCAAGATCCCCCAGGTGGCTTTGGTGCCAAAGGGGAGACTAGAACTCTCCATCTCCTAGTGATTGGTCCAAGATCTTCCAGGTGGCTTTCATGCCAAAGGCGGGACTAGAACTCTCCATCTCCTAGTGATTGGTCCAAGATCTTCCAGGTGGCTTTCATGCCAAAGGCGGGACTAGAACTCTCCATCTCCTGGTGATTGGTCCAAGATCCCCCAGGTGGCTTTGGTGCCAAAGATGGGACTAGAACTCTCCATCTCCTAGTGATTGGCCCAAGATCCCCCAGGTGGTTTTCATGCCAAAGATGGGACTAGAACTCTCCATCTCCTAGTGATTGGTCCAAGATCCCCCAGGTGGCTTTGGTGCCAAAGGGGAGACTAGAACTCTCCATCTCCTAGTGATTGGTCCAAGATCCCCCAGGTGGCTTTGGTGCCAAGGGGGAGACTAGAACTCTCCATCTCCTAGTGATTGGCCCCAAGTCACCCAGCATATCAAGAAAGCATGCCGGCTGGGGAATTCTGGGACTTGAAGTCCACCCATCTTCCCAAATTGGACAACACCGCTCTAGAGAATTTCACAGGGAGGGGGGCTTTCCTGTTTTGAAACCCCTGCTTTGTCTTCTCTCATCAGGCCACGTAGACCCCGGGGAAGATGACCTGCGCACAGCCCTGCGAGAGACCCAGGAAGAGGCTGGGCTGGCCTCCAGCCAGTTCACCATCCTGGAAGGTTTTAAGAAGGAACTGAATTACGTGGTCAGAGGCAAACCCAAAACCGTGGTCTACTGGCTGGCCGAGCTGAATGACCAGGACACGGAGATCAAGCTTTCTTCAGAGCACCAGGCCTTCCGCTGGCTGACCCTCAGCGAGGCCTGCAGACTTGCAGAATACGAGGACATGCAAGGCACCCTCAGAGAGGCTCATCTCTTTCTGTCTTCCAAAGAATAAATTTCCTTTCGTGGGATGCAGGAATTTTCTGTTCTTTCAAGTCTTAATAGCAATGTTTCTCAGCTTTGACCCATTAAAGATGGGTGAACTTCAGGACCCAGAATTCCAAGTTGTTTTCTTGCAGACATTTCATGCTCCAACTGGGTAACATCATCAGTGCTAGGGAGGTAGAGGTTTGCTCCCAGCTTATGCAGGATAAGCTACTGAATATAAATAAGAGAGCAAACCCCATTCCCTTGTAGCATTGATGATGTTCCCTAGTTGGGTCATGAAACGTCTGCAAGAAAACAACCAATTTCAGAGAGTTCCAAAGACTCCACATTTTCCTCCTCCCTCCCCCCTCCTCTCCACAAATCCCTCTTCCTTCCAGCACTGATGATGATGTTCCCTAGTTGGGTCATGAAACATCTGCAAGAAAACAACCAAGCTCAGAGAGCACCAAGGACCCCACATTCTGGGAGTTAGGGCATACTTCCGGAAGGTGCCATGTTGAGGAAGGCTAACGCAGAAACAGTCTTTCTGCAAAAGCTCTTACAGATCAAGTCTGATTTTTGCTCTGTCCATTTTCTAGGTCTTGATTAAGTCCTAGGCAGAAGGTCCCTCAAAGGACTTGTCCCTGATGGTAGAAGCTTCAGGATAAGATGGAATCAAAGACGGGAGATGCCGTGTCCACCTCTCCTTCTGAGACTCTCATGGGCCACGTAGCGTGTGAGGGTTTTTTGGATGAATCCAGCTAGATTGTTCCAACATGTTTTGGAGGTTCAATTTATTGAAAGACTAGTTGGATGCCCATACTTCGCTACGAAACTATGTGCTCGGGCTTGATAAATTGACACTTGCAGCCTGAAACTTAATGTAGAATGTGTAACTCCGTAGCATCGGAGTGTGTAAATAAAATGCAACTGGCAGTTGGAACAGAGGGGGAGGGGGAGTAGAATGTCCCAGCCCGCAGCATCCATTGGTATTCATCTGGCTAGCATCCTGTCAGTGTGTGAGAGAGTTGTGGGGTGTTTGGAAACTCAAACAGTATTTGCTGTGTGAGCAAGAAGGAGACAGGAAGGAGCCTGGCCGTGGCTTAGCTCAACTGTTCTGTAGTAAAGCTGCTGTGAAAGTAAAACTGAAAGTGAAACTCCTCTCCTCTGCTTGTGTTTTGCATTTGGAACAGATTTATTTGAGGTGGGGAGGGGGAGTAGAACTCCTTAGCATCAGAGCGTGTTAATCATAATATAGGAAATACTAATGCACTGATGGTCATTTCGGAAAATCCTTTCTTAGTGAGCACCTAGAAGCCAAGAGGAACATACGTGGCAAATTTCAAGTTTGTAGGCTTTATCGTTCTGCAGATTTCGTGATTAATGCGTGAGTGGTTTTCACTTTTATATATATAGATTCAAATTGCCGGATTATAATGGCAATCTCTTTTTGAGAAACTGGACTTTGAGTTAAACACGCTTTTTATTTTGAGACAGATTTAAAACAAAGCATCCTGTTAGTTATCACCTTAAATCCGTAGCTTCTTGTCCGGCCTTCAGGTGCTTTGGAAAATAGCTGGACCTCTTTTTTTTTTGTGACAACCCCTCAAATATTGGAATCCTGCTATCATGTCATTCCTAATCCCCTTTTTCATTAAACTAGACCTATCCAATTCCAGCAACCGGTCTTTATATATTTTAGAAGTCCTAATGGCGTCTCATCCAAGAATTTCCCAAGTCTGCCCTTGTTGGGTCACCAGCCTATACCAGTAGTAACTACAATGCAAGTGTGAAGGCCACCGCATCTTCCTTGCTTTCTTTTTAGTGCAAGTGTTAGTCTACACCACATCAGCCTCAGGAGGGAGGCCATAAAAGCTTCAAGTGTGAGCAAAAGGGCTCTGTTAGAAGAACGGGATTTTGAGAGATTCAGCTGGGAGAAGATGGAGTAGGTCAGCTAGTATAAACGGTCAAAGAGAGAGGTGGTAGTTCCATCTTTCCATTCGATCAAGATCTCGCCATGCTTGAGCGAAGGGGAAGGTGAGGCAGGGATGATCTGCATCTTAGAGACGGGGCTGACCGTTCCTGGTGAAAGTTGGTGTTCCTCATAGCTCATCTGCCGGCTCTTCAAAGCTAACAACTTCTTCTTCCTGGGGCCCACAAGAAGCAGATCCCTTGAGTCACCCAGCGTTGCGTTATGGTGGCCATATAAAGGTCACATAAATAAAGAATGAAAATTCCACCCAGCCTAGCACTTACTTTTTGGATTGGATGTTGAACGTCAGGATGATTATCCCCAGGATGAAGGCCAGAGGGCTCAGGATAAGCAGGGTAGTTCTCCAGATGGGACCTACAGAGGAGAACGTCACAAGGACTTTAGAATAAGAGAATTGGAAGGGACTCCGTGGAGGTCTTCTAGTCCAACCCAACGCTCTAGCAGGAGACCCTATACCATTCCAGAGAAATGGCTGTCCAATCTTGTTAGTGTTCTGTCCCCGTACCCCACACGCACCCCCACAGACGGCCCGGAGTTAATAAGCCACACGACAAAACTCTTTGAAGATAAAGCTGGCAACAACCCAGTGGCTAGCTGCCAATTCAGACTTTACTCACACAAAATAAAGATTAGACTGCAAGCATTCCGATAAAACAGGCAGAGTGTCAGCAATACAAGGATTAATCCAAATGCAGTCCGATAAAGCAGGCAAAGTCCAGTAACGCAGAGATCATGGAGTATTTCCAGTTTTTGCTCGTCACAAACTGAACCGGCCACCACACTCACATTTATACCCTGTGGGGTGTGGTCCAGTGACTCAGCTAATCTCTGGCACGCCTTCCCCTCTGCTGCGCACGCTTCTCCCTGCACCTCTGTCGCGGGTCCAGCCAGCACTTATCTTCTTCATCGCTGTCCACCTGTGGCTGCGGGAACGTGCTTGTCTCTGAGCCTATCAATTGGCCTTCGGTGTCCTCCAGAGGCATTGCCAGAGAGGAGGGTCCTGGAGAGGGAGGCCTTGCCAACTCCTCTCCCTCACTCTCAGAGACTGCATCTGTCGATAGCCCAGGCTCAGGCAACGGAGCCACAACAGTTAGGAAATGATAATTTACTAACTTGTTGGGTTGACAATAAATAAACCTTAATATAGCTTTAAGACTGTATTGTTGTTCTGCATCATACTGTGTCCTGATTGGTTAGCTCTGTAGCCAATGTCTTTAAGAGGAAGCTTGAAACATGGTTAGTTTCTCTTTGCTACTCTCTGCTGAACTTTGCTGACCATTATTGATCGTTACTGCTATTTGCTGTGTTTGCTACTGTTTGCAACTGTTTATTGTGTATGACTACAACAACTGGTAAGAAGACTTTGTTATTGGAATATCCCTGGACTATTGTTTACTATCTACTGCTTTATCTGTGTATGACCTGGACTGTTTATTGGACTGTGCCTTATAAACACAACTCAGTGTATCTGTGTGTTGGCTGTGATTATTTGCAACTGCTCTCAGTCACTTTCATGTGCACACCCTTGCTACTCTAGGGATGCTCTGCGAATTCCTCAACAAATCTCTTAAAATCCTCCAGTGATGGAGCACCCACAATTTCTGGAAGCAAGATGTTCCACTGGTTAATTGTTCTGTTGAGAAATTTCTGCTTAGTTCCAGGTTGCTTCTCTCCTTGATTAGTTTCCATCCATTGCTTCTTGCTCTGCATTCAAGAGCTTTGGAGAATCGGTTGACCTTCTCTTCTTTGTGGCAACCCCTCAAATATTGGAAGGTTGCTGTCAGTCCTTCTTTTCATAAAAATAGACATACCCAATTCCAGCAACCATTCTTTGTATATTTTAGCTTCCAGTCCCCTAATCATCTTTGTTGCTCTTCTCTACACTCTTTCTAGAAATAGAGTGTCAACATCCTTTCTTTGCTAGCTATCGTTCTTCATCATTAGGACATTTTTAGTTTTCCCAACAATGTTCACTCTCGCTTTGGGTCATCAGATGCTACCAAGGACCAGCAGGGTTTTGTTCTGTCCCCAACCACATGCACACACACCAACAGACGTTCAAGAGTTAAAGACCAAACCAGCCGGCAAAATCCTTTTCCTTATGATAACGGAACTTGGCAACAACCTAGTGGCTGCCTGCCAAGAGTTTATTATTTACAAAGAGGAGAGATAACTTCTCCCCACTTCTGATACATCAAAAGAAACAGCTCAATAATTACGGAGTCAATCAAGTCCAGAGATAATCCAGCAAAGTCTATAGCAAAAGTCCGGCAATGCAGAATGGCGTGGAAGCTTTCAGCTTTGTTCGTCACAAGGTTTGACTGGCCACCACGCTCCCTTTTATATCCTGTGGGGTGTGGTCCAGTGACTCAGCCTAATCTCGGGCACTCCTTCTGTTGCGAGCGCTTATCTCTGCGACGCTGGCGTGGATCCAGCCAAGACTCATTACCCTCATCACTGTCTATCTGTGGCTGCGTGGATGTGCTTGGCCCCGGCCCTATCTCTTGCCCTTCGGCGGACACCGAAGGCATTGCCAGAGAGGAAGGTCCTGGAGAGGGAGGCCTTGCCAACTCCTCTCCTTCACTCTTGGAGTCCTCTCCTGCTGATGACACAGGCTCAGGTAACGGAGCCACAACAGGTTTGGTACCCATTTGTCAATCTTAAAATGACCACTCCTGTCCACCAGCTGGATGATGGAAGACAAAAACACCATGGGGCAACCTTCAGCCGCATACTTTCCTCTCTGAAGACCCACAGAAGCATCTGCTGGTTTGTGGTCTTTGTAAAGTAGCATGATTTGTGAGTTGTGACTTAACATGTGATAACCCAGTCACTGCTTTTTGATAAGCCAGAGTTAAAACAAAGGGTGGCATAATGTGACGTGGGAACGCAACTGGTTTCTGATTTGTTGAAAGACAATATTCCATATTTCTGTATTTCTAACAGAATTGGTGTCACATTGGTAGATAGACAAAAAGGAGTGGCGCAGTGGCCTAGAGGTGGAGCTCTCACCTCAGATTCAGGAGGCTGTGAGTTCAATTCTAGGTAGAGGCAGATAT